TCTCTCTCTCTCTCTCTTGTTCTTTCTATTTTCTTTATTCAAACCCTCTTTCTTTTATCCTAATTAGTATATAATTAAGAATAAAAGATGGCAATAATACCCCACTAATTAACTTAGGTTTACCTCTTTTAACCCCTCAAGAATTTTAGTTATTAATATAACCCCACGAAATCTATAATTAAGGAAAGAATAGTCCAAAAACGTCCCTTAAAACGTGTAAGGAAATCCGATTCTGCCTGGGACTTGTGCAACCTGTGACGGGCCGTCGTGCCTGCGACGATCCGTCCTGCAGGTCGTCGCAAGAGTCAGAGAGTCAATTTCCACTGAACAATCTATGACGGTCGGTCACGCCTGTGACGGTCCGTCCTGCCATTCCGTCACGAAGTTCAGAGAGTCGATTTTCAATACCCAATTTCAGATTTTCTAAGTGTTTTGAAACGAGACCCTACGACGGTCCGTCGTGCCCATGACGGATCGTCGTTTGGTCCGTCGCCTCAGCCTGTTTTTCCAGAATTGAAGTTTGTTGCTCAAAATGACTAAACAGGTCGTTACAATCATATTATAATCGAGATGACTCAACCAGTCATGCCAAATGATGAAATAATTATGTTTAATAAATATTTTATTTACCATGACATGTGATTCAACCACATCAATACTTGTGTGGTACAACCTAGAAGAAAGTGCAGATAATTTTTCATGCACAAATTTTTTCCCTCTTTTATTGTAGTAATATAAAGGTATTCAACATTTCCTTTATTAGTAGTCTTAATATGATAGTCATTTTGACGAATATCCTTGAAACTTAACAAGTTTCTTTGAGACTTACTACAATACAAAGTATTATTAACAACCAATATTGTTCCTCCGGGTAGTAATAATGATGCTATTCCAAAACCCTCAATTATTTTTGTACTACCGAATATTGTATTAACATTGACCCATTTCATAATTAAATGAGAGAAATATATTTTCTCTCTTATATAGTGTAAGTTGTAGCACTATTCAGGAGGCACATATCTCCATTACGCATCTTGAATCCATTTGAAGACTAAAATTTTTTATTTTTCTTCATTAAATAAAAGTAGATCATAAGAGGTAAGATAACTAGCAACATTGCAAGAAAATTTAGGTCTTTATACTATTTTACTTTTAAAATAAAAGTGACATAAAAATGTTAATAAAAGCACACAAAAACAACAACATATTGTACATCATAAAATAACATCAAACTTCATTATGATCTCCAAAGAAGTCTTCAACCTCCAAATGAGTAATATCATTGAGGTTATTAAAATCGTTATTCTTCAAAGCTAAATTTGCTTTAATATTATCATTGTACATTTGCGAAGATTTTTTCTAAGCATTATTAATTTTTAAATGTCCAGTGTGATTTCACCCGAGCATTAAAAGAAGATGTACCACATCTATATGCCTTTCTTTTAAAGGAATTTTGATTAAGCCTGACAAAATACTCATGCGTCTAACATTCACTCTTCCAATGGTCTTTCATGCCACAACAATGGTATTACTTTGAGAACCTATATTGTTTTCTCTTTTATAATGACCACTACCACGATAATTATCATATTGTTTTCTGCCATTGTCACATTCACACACATTATTATGGCCCCAATTTTTATTTTAACTTCTTTCAGATAGGCTATGTGCTTCTACCACATTTTCCAGTAGAGGGACAGTTTCAATGGGACAGACTTCATGATTTTTCAACAAAAATGAATTATGTTGCTCAGGCACAAGAAGTCATAAGATTAAATTAGAATACTTTTTAAATCTCCTTTTACGATATTTTTGTTGTAACACCAGATTTGAGGCATGAAAAGTAGTAAGCGTCTATTTCAACATATCCTCATCGGTTATATTTTCCCCACATAATTTTAATTGAGAAGTGATTCATAAACAACAGAATTATACTCACATACAATTTTGAAGGCCTGTAATCTTAAGTGTATAGAATCATAACGAGCTCTTGGCAATATTGTTGTCTTGACTCTTAAGGTGGTCATACTTTTCCTTTAAACGAGTCCACAATTCAAGTGGTTCTTTCACTATTAAATATTCGGCCTTTAATCCTTCATCCAAATGATGACGAAGAAAATCACAACCTTCTTTTGTCCTGACTCGATGTTGTATTACCTTTAGTAATGGTGGTACCAAGATCTTTAGCGTCTAGGTGAATTTCAGCATCAAGTACCCATGATAAATAATTTTTGTCAAAAATATCAAGTGCCATGAACTCCAATTTTCTCAAATTTGACATGATTAAAAACTATCATAAAAATAGTAAAATTAGATTAAAATAAATAAACTTTTAGATAAAAGATATATGTCACCATTAAAGCTGTCCCGAATTTTAAAAAACACACCTTAACTTTGTTGTTACCCCCACTAAACAATTTTGAGTATATATTATTATATCATTTTTCGATCAGCCCCAAATTTTAAAAAGCAAGTGTGTTCACACACCAATCGTAACATGACACGTATTAGTTTAATTTATTTTTTTTTATCTTTTTTTTTTATTTCTCTCTCTCTCTTTCTTACTTTTTAATTTTTAGTTTTAAGTTATCTTTAATTTCATTTCATCTTCTACCTCTCACTTTCAAATAATTCATCCCTTCATTTTCTTTTTTTTTTCTTCACATCTCAGTCCCTTTGTCAAATAAAATCTCACTTTCATTTTTTTCTTTTCTTTTTTTTCTTGTTCTCCGGTCAAATTCGTTATAAAATTCATACTATTATTTAGACTTTACTAAATTATTGATCACAAAATTAATTATTATTTTAAGAAAATTTAAAATTTTGAAGTATCATGAACTACTTATTTTCTTATAAATTCAAAATTAGAAATCATGATTTCAAAAGAATTAATTCCCCAAAAATTGAAAGAACTTAATTGAAATCGGATAAAAAAAACTATATGATACTTCCTACAAGTTTAATTTTCTAATACTTACTTTCATTTTAGTTTATAATATTATACTTATATCTCTTTTTTTATTAATAATTATTTTCTTAACCCAATTATTATGAATATAAAAATACAAATTTAACTCTCCTCCATTACTCTTTTTTTTCCTAGTCAAATACACATCTAAATGAGAAACATATGACTTAACCATAATTAAGTGAATAAGCTTTGAACAAATAATTTCTAAACTTTGATAAGAAAAGATATTCCCTACTAATCTTAGAATCCAGTGATTTCAACTTATGTTTTATATTCAAATATCAATCTTGCCCATTATCTAATCACTTTCTGTGTTCGTAAATTTATTTTTAACATATTATATGGAAAAACAAAAAATAAAAGAAAGGATTATCATCATATTATTATCGATAAAATCGTTTAGTAAGAATGAAAAATAGAAAATGCATTAGAATTACAAAGGTAAACTATTTACAAAAATATTCCTTTTTAATCTTCTTTTATAAAATAATAATAAAAGAAACGATTAATTTAAAGGGAAAATATTTCGTAAGACCACTGTTTATAGGCTAATCAAAAAACGTTGATAAGTTCCCGTTCCATAATTTTAATACTTAAATGTAAAAATATCAGAAATAAAATTAATGACATTAATATATCCCTATTAATTATGTTAAGACCATTATTATAAATAAATAAATAAATAGCTATACAAATAAATAAGAGATAAATATAATTTTATAAACTATAATGAAAGTAAATATTTAAAAAACTAAATTTGAAGGATGATTTGTGCAATTATCTCTTTTATCTTTTGGTTATCAGAAAAATTAGTTTAACTTGAGTGACTTTATAAAAGATAATCTATAAGTTGAATGATTTTATTGATACAAAATAAAGTTGAGTGATTTTTTCAAATAATTTCACATAGTTGAGTGACTTTTTGAGATATTTAGTCAATCATCTCATTAATTTATCTCATTTTCATATAACTTCAAAACTAGAAATGATAATTTTGAAAGAATCACGATTCTCTGAAAATTGAAAATTTTTAATTAAAATTTAGATTAAAAAAACTAAATAGTATCTATTAATCATCTTGAAATCTAATGGATTTATCAAATTGTTATAGATATATTTACAAGATTGAAGAAAGTTAAACTAATAGTAGTAAAAAGGGGAGATGGAGTTGTGGTAAAAAGAGACATAAAGTTAGAAGTTTCAATGAAGATGAAAATAAACTTTTGAAGAAGAAGGAAAAAGAAAAAAGATAATAAGAAGAAAAAATTTAAATAATAAGAAACAACAAGAAAATATATTTTATAACAAAATAATTGCAAAAATAAAATTATATTCATTTTTTTAGTTTGTTCACGCTTTTTAAGAAAGTGTATACACTCTCCATGCCAGGTGGACAAAAAATGATGTAATAATATTAATTCAGAATAGTTTAGGAAGGTAATAGGACGTTTACATAGTTTAGGTTTCCTTTTAAAAATTCAGGAGAACTTCAATGTCACTCTCAAACTTTTAACCATTGAAAGTTAAGAATATCATATGTAGCAATCTTTTAATAAGAAATTTTATTTTCAGTGATTAATAAAATTTACTACTATCTTATATTATTTAGAGAACATATAAATTGAAATATTCTAATGTATAATTGTACTTAGGATATGAAAACAAAAATAGTTATATCATCAAAACATATCTTAGACTTCATGTTGATAACGTGTTATAAAATAAAGTATTAAAAATTAAACGGCAAAGAAATGAAGAGAAATAGCATTAATATTTTTCTTTCAATTAAAAAAAATGTTTTTCTTCCAATTATTTTAATATTTCAACGCATTTGTACCTACACATGAGTATATATAAAAAGTAAGGACAACAATGTTTTTCTTCCAATCTCTAATACTTCAAAATCATAATTAAATTTCTTAAATTATATTTAAATTTTTTGAAGTCATGCGGTGTAATTTGATACATACCATCCACGTTTCATTAGTTACAGAGAGTATTATATCTATTCTTATATAGATTTATTTTTACCGTCATTGGGAATTTCTTTTGTTGTTGTTGAACCATTGCAAATGGTGCTATTAAAGAGGTGAACTTCAAATTCCCAGTGGACTAAATGCGCTTGTTACCACATGAACTCAAACCTCTCCTATTGAGATGTAAACATAATGCACTGATTTCTCAAATTCACACTCTTATGGTAGTATCTGGGCTATTTTCCAATGGAAACTCCATTGCCCAATTAATTTCATCATATGGCAAAGTGGGTGATCTCAAATCTGCCCACAAATTGTTTGATAAAAGTCCCCTGAGGAGAGTAGATTCTTGGAATGCTATGATCATTGCCTATTCAAAAAATGAGTTCCCTGTTGAGGTTGTAAATTTTTATAGTCAAATGGTTCTTGAAGGTGTCAAACCTGATAGCTCAACTTTTACTGTGGTACTTAAGGCGTGTACGATATTGCAGGATTTGGAGAAGGGCGAAGAGGTTTGGGAGAAGGTGGTTGATTGTGGGTATGAAAATGATGTCTTTGTTGGGTCCTCTGTTTTGAACCTGTATTCGAAATGTGGGAAGATGGATAAAGCAGGAGCTGTATTTGAGAAAATGCAGAGGAGGGATGTTGTTTGTTGGACTACGATGATAACGGGTTTTGTACAGAGTGGAAAAGGGAGAGAGGCTGTGGATTTGTATAGGAGGATGCAAAGGGAAGGTATGGTAGGTGATGGTGTTGTTATGTTGGGTTTGATACAGGCTTCTGCTAATATTGCAGACACGAAATTGGGTTCTTCAGTTCATGGTTATATGATCCGCCGATCCCTTAATATGGATGTCAATGTACTGACTAGCCTTGTTGATATGTATGCTAAGAATGGAGAGTTGGAGAAAGCTACTCGTGTATTTCGGAAAATGCCTTTTAGGAATACTGTTACTTGGAGTGCTTTGATTTCTGGCTATGCTCAAAATGGCTTTGCTGTTAATGCTCTTCAACTGCTGATAGAGATGCAGCTGCTAGGATTCACACCTGATGTAGCTTCACTTGTAAGTGCACTTCTAGCATGTTCTGACGTTGGCTCTTTGAGATTGGGTAGATCAATTCATGGCTATGCTGCCAGGAAAGTCATTATAGATCAAGTTTTAAGTACTGGATTGATTGACATGTATGCTAAATGTGGGCTCATTTCTTGTGCCCGTGCCATTTACGACTGCATCATTTCTAAGGACTTGATATGTTGGAATACGATTATAGCATGCTATGGGATCCATGGGCATGGAAAAGAGGCACTTACCCTTTTCCAGCAGATGAAGGATCAGATAGAACCAGATCATGCAACTTTTGCTGCTCTTCTTTCAGCTTTAAGTCACTCGGGATTAGTGGAGGAAGGCCGTCATTGGTTTGATATCATGGTTAATGAATACAAGATTAAACCTTCTGAGAAGCATTATGCTTGTTCAGTTGATCTTTTGGCTCGAGCTGGTGAAGTTGAAGAAGCTAAAGATCTCATCACTTCTATGGAAACTAAACCTGGGCTTGCTGTTTGGGTTGCCCTTCTATCTGGTTGCCACAAACATAAGAAATTTTCCATTGGAGAATTGGCAGCAAACAGGGTACTTGAATTGATTCCCGAGAACACAGGTACTTTCGTATTAGTAGCAAATTTCTTTGCAGCAGCAAAAATGTGGGATAAAGCAGCTGCAGTGAGGAAGCTTATGAAAGAGACAGGGATGACAAAAGTTCCTGGCTACAGCGCTGTAGAGGTAAAGGGGAGACTCCATGCTTTTCTTGTGGATGATACAAGTCACCCTCAATATGAACAGATAATGGGACTTCTATGCAATCTGGAAAATGAGATGAAAGCTATGGGCTATGTCCCAAAGACAGACTTTGTGCTGCAGAATCTTGAAGAAGATGTCAAAGTGAAAATGTTGGGTATTCATAGTGAGAGACTTGCCATTGCTTTTGGGCTTTTAAACACCGCACCAGGAACCAGATTACTTATCACAAAGAATCTGAGGGTCTGCGGTGACTGCCATGAAGTAACAAAGTTTATCTCTGTTATAGTAAAAAGAGAGATTATTGTAAGGGATGTTAAGCGATTTCATCACTTTAAGGATGGAACATGTTCCTGTGGTGACTACTGGTGAAACATGTAAAAGCTCTATCTATAATCCTGTTAGATACTGGATAAAAACTAAGAATACGACGAAAATGTATTTGTTGCTGCCTTTGCATTCAATAGGAGGTCCGTCCACGAAAAAGAATCAGTTGAATGAAGAATAAAGATAACACACAATTTATAGTTTGGACTGACACAAGGTAGGGAATGTTAACAATGTCTATATCTGAAAAGCAATACTACAAAATTCTCATTGAGTAACAACATTTCCCAAAATCCGTTTCTGCTTAAAGAAGGGTCAAGACATGCAAGCACATAATTATCAAAAATTTGAACCAACTGCTTCTGTCTATTTTTCTCAACTCCGATAACCATGAGCTTGATTCTGAAGATTTTGATTGTCTTCTAATAGACGGTCGTATTCTAAAAGAAGATCTGCTGCTTGTTTTTGAAGAGCAGCAACGTGTGCTTCCGCCGTTTCAACACGTTTGTCTTTCTCCTCTGACTCCAACTTAACCTTCTTCAGTGTCTCCGTTAAACTAGACAATTGTTTCTGCGATAATTTTATTTCCTCAGCAGCTTTATCTGCTTTCTCCTTAAGCTGCAGCTTTTCTTTCTCAAGTCTTTCAAATTCTTTCTTTGAAGATCCCGCACTACTACGCAACACAATTAGCTTCCGAAGGTAATGGTGCATACGATCAATTAAGAATCCGAGAAACAGAGAAAATCCTGAGTGATATGTGCCATTCAAATGCAGATAAATTAGCATAAAATGAAATAATAAATGAATAAGAGAACCCGAAAAATGCAAAATTGCAGTAGCATGCATATTTTTATTTGTCATATGTAGTGCTTTTTTTCAGTGGTTAGTAGATCTATACTTCAGACTGAAGTTATGGTTGCAAGACCCAAAAATCTAAAAGTTATGGTTGCAAGACCCAAAAATCTAAATCCATTTTGACTGCTGCGTAGGAGGAACAAACTCTTATGCTTTGTCAACCTTGAAACATAATCGCAGAAGCGCATCTACATACTACCACAATATAAGACTTGCAAGTAATGGCATGTCCTTCACTCAAACAATTAACTGTAAATCTTGAGACATTCTACCTACATGTGTGCATTCTTACTCCATTATCATGTCATATCAAATGGAATATACAAAACAGCTTCATCGGAGAATCAGGGAACGACCCAAACAACGGAGTAAATCATAACATTTATTTTACTAATGTACATTTTGAAAGACTGGGACTAGTATCAATAGAATATCAACTGAGATGGTTGAGAATAAGACACTATTAAGTTTAGGTAGACTACTGTCGATCTCTAGACAAATTTCTCTTCAAATTCCAAGATATTTAGAGAACTACTTCATTGCACTTGAATGTTGTTAAAGACTAAAAACAGCATAGCTCTTCGAGTGGCCAGCATTGAAGAAGCTACTTTGCTATACTCACTATTATCCCTAACTTAAGATCAAGAATTAGGAGGAACTGATGCTCCCGCAAGTAACTGTGTCAATTGCACAGAACTTATTTTGACACCTAGGAGTCAAAAATTCCCTCCCCACTTCTTCCCCAAACCCAACAAAAACAATAATAAACGTTTTAGCTTTTCAATCAACTAAGCTCAAGCCTAGCATTAACAGTGTTAATGATGATACACGAGAGGAATAGAGAAGAATATGTGATAGTTTCTTATCAAATCTCAACAACGATTTGTACATATTGGTATAAGCTCCTTTCAAACCAGTTTAGTACAACAAACAAATCAATGAAGTTCAGTTCCAACAAACTCCAAATAACCCATCAAAAAATGCTTGAAAAAAAGCTTCCTCCCATCACAGTCATCCATGAGAACTACTACAGATATATACATGAATTAAGAATTATAAAGATTCATCAAATATACAAATTAATCCCATCACCGGATGTCTATTCAATTGATAAGCGAAAATGCTACATGTCCCTGGTAATTATCTTCATCCACATTCAAACCTAAAAGTAGCAGCCAACAAATCAAAGAGAGTCTATAATGAACTTAAAAGATTGTGCCCCTAAATTTGTAAACAAAATACTACTACTATCATGAAGAGTAACAACTGAACAAAGAATCTGATTTTCATTTGCATACGCCATAATATGGATAAATTATCACAAGAGCAGTATCTCAAATATCAGAATCCAATAGCAAGGGAATGAAACTGAGTTATTTACAAAGGGTTTAAAGAATGATACCCATGAGAGTAGCCTCTAACAAGTTGGTTCTCCACAAAACCTGATCCATTGGTGTCATTGTACCAATCTTAGCCCCCTTATTCTGAATCTTGATAATACTAATGAAGTTGGAAAATAAGATAGCTGATATTGTACCAGCAATAGTTAAAACAGTACCCTTTCTCATTTTCACCTGATCCAAACACTTCATCACCAGTTCCCTCAGTGGCCCAATCTTCACCATTAGAAGAAATGCCACCATACCCTCCAAACAAAGAACCATAAACAACAACTGAATCATTTTTACACTAAAAAAAAAAATCAATCCTTTTTATACCTTCAACTAAAACCCCAAAATTTCTTCAAAGAACCAACATCATAAAAAAAAACCAAATCAAGAATTGGGAAGAAGCCCCTGTAGAAGTAAAAGATGTCTAATACTAATTAAAAACCTAATCTTTTACAACTCATCTCTAAAGAAGTGGTAAAAGGATAAAGGTAGTAACTTTAGCAGAAAATGTTAAGGGTTTTGAGCTGCAGATCTATGGAATTAGTTGCTAATTAGAAATAAAGAAAAAAGAAAAGAACTTTCTTTAAGCAAAACCCGTTTTTTGGTTCAAACTTTTAACTTTTTGGTTCCTCTAAGCAAATGGTGTGTTGGATTGTTTTGTTTTTCACTTTACTTGGGAAAAGGAATAGCAATAAGAAAAAAGAAATGTGAATTATTAGTAGTAATATTGTCTGTGTGTTCAGGCATTACAAGTTGGACGGACGATTGGGCTTTGGTCTTCCTGTTATATGTTTGTTTAGTTTAGTACTACTGCACTTCTTCTGTCTGCCCCTATGTATCTATTTAGGCGTAATAGTTTTAGATTTCATGATTATTTTATTTTAAAAAAAAGAAAATTATGTAATTTTACTTTTAGTTGTCATATTTTTTTTAGTGTTAAACTATAAGAATTTTCACTAACATTTTATGATATATTTTTTCATCATATTTATATGCAAAAAAATTAAAATTTATTGTATTTTTTGTGTATTTTTTTAATATCTAATTTTTTTTGGTTTAAAATATTGAATTAACGTTATCTAATTCAACTTTGAAAGTTAATCAAGTTGACTCTCAGAAATCACTACATGATAATTTAAAGTGGGCTGAGGCAGTATTATCTTTTAAAGTCGTGTTTTCAACAAATAAACGTAAATTAATTTACTTTGATTAACTAATTTGATCAATGAACATTGATTGGTTATTCAATTTTCTATATTAGTCAAACATATACTTTCAAATTTAATAACGCTAAAAAGGTGAAATATGTAGAACAATGACATTTATGCAATAATTTTGGGAAACAAATATTAAAAAAAAAAATAGTAAAGACAACATATAAATAGGAATGACAATAAGCCCTTTCTTTTATTGCTTGGAGTTTAAAATGTAAATTGAAAAATCATCAAAAATAATTTCAAAAGTTATGTGAAATTGAATAAAAATGTCATTCATTTACAATAAGGAGAAGAGTCTAAAATGCCCCTTAAGTACTTGAATTGGTACAAAATTATTACTTATCGACCTTTCGGTCTTAAAGTACCCCTATCGTCCACCTTTTGACTCAAAAATACCCTTGATGCTAATCATTTCACTCATATTTGTCCTCAATTTTAATAGCTTTTTTAAAGTAAAATTATTAAATATTTACTTATGTCACGACCCAAAAATGGACGTGATGGCACTCGTCTTATCCCACCAAGACAAGTAAGCCTATTATTATTAAAAATAAATAAATTACCCGACATTAATTAATTTAGTTAAATGACAATTAAAAATTATCAAAAATGATCTTTTCGGATCCGGGTCATTACATTATCCACCACTAAAAATCATGTTCGTCCCCGAACATAAGGAAGAAGAAGAAAGAATAATTGACATTATCAAAAGCTTGAATTATGATCTACTAGTTGGTGTTCTTATCTCCAAGTGAGCTTCTCCTTAAGACCATTCCATCAAGATAGAGTACTTAGAACTAAGCCTTTGAATCAAACTTTGGAAAATCTATAAATCAAGAAAGACTATCAAGCCACAATTAACTCATGAATCCAATTAAAACTAAAACCCATTGGACCTTAACACAACCACCATGATGAATTTTTTTTCCTGACATAACTAAGATAACCTTCTAAATCAATACTGAATACGAACAAAAAGTGAACATGAACCCACTACCACACACTCTCAATGCACAAATTGTTACCGGTCTTATTATGATTCTCTTCTCACAACACAACCTCTCTACAACTTAAGTTATAATAAAAATTTGATCTTTAGACATCGGATAGTCATCATGGAAAATCAAACTTATGCAACCCGAAGAAAAATAAGATTAAGTAAACACCCAACAAGCGATACACTTCAAATGTACAACCTCTAATATACTTTAACTATTCTAAACAACTCCGAATATTCCATAATTGAAATTACTAAGTCCGCCAAAGGATCCTACTCTGTCGAGAGGACATAAGAGGATCGGTACATCCGATCCACCACTAGGGGTTCACCCGTAGTTGTAGAAATACACATGAGTATATGTATTGAATCATACTCTAAACCATGTTTAAAATGAAGAAGGTAATCACATAAAGATGTATAGAACCAAGGTCGAATAAAACTAAATACTTCTTCCATAATATCCATATTGAATATTTCCATTCATCTTACTACATCCCTTAATTTTTAGCCATCCAAAACCAACCAGTCTGATATCTATTATAATCTTACACATATTCGACTTATCAAACTTTACATACTCTCACAAGGCTCCACTAAATCCAACACTCTTAATGCTAACAAACATCATAACAACACCATCCATTTACCTTACTCTCAAACC